AAGGGTGGACTGGGTTCAAGGGTGTGTGTAGAGCAGGGTTGCAAGGGTTTTTAGCGGGGTTTTATGCCATAGTGGTATAGGTATCTAGGACGTAGGATTAGCACGATCATAGGCGCGGACAAGTTTCATGGCGTTCTTAAGATTAGAGAGAGGTTCCTATGTAGATTCTTCGTTGGGGTATCCGGTCCATTTGACTTTGTATTCAGTGATTGGTTCCGGATGATCAGATACCTGAGTGGTTCGTCGGCCGATGATGGTTTCGATAACGAATTCAGGGTCTGTGGGTAGCATGATTGGTGGAGGTCTAGGGTATGGGCGGTCGGCGAACTGGAGCGGGGATTCATGGTATTCTTTTAGGTACTCGACATGGAAGACTGGGTGGACACGACTCATGTCAGGGGGGAGTTGGAGTTTGTAGTTGACGGGGGAGGTTTGTTCAATGATGGGGAAGGGACCGAGCCACTTGTTCGAGAGTTTCTTGGACAAGCCTTGCTCGGGTTCAAAGCGTTTGGCAGAAAGCCARACTTTGTCCCCTACTTTGAATGACACGTCACGTCTGTGTTTGTTAGTCTTGTTGGCTTGTTGTTCTTGTGTTCTTTCAAGGGCTTCGGTTGCTTCTCTGAGGAGTCTGTTCATTGTCGCTATCCATTCATTGAGAGAGGGGTAAGGGGTGGAGGGGCTGAGCTGCGAGGGAAGCAAGAAATCAGAGGGCAAGCGGGGATGGTAGCCAAGGTCGAGGTAGAAAGGGGACATGCCAGTGGAGGGGCAAACAACATTGTTGTAGGCAATTTCGGCGGCTGTGAGCAACTGATCCCAATCGTGTTGGTGTGGATGACAATACTTTCGCAGGATTCTTTGGAGTGTATCGTTCATCTTCTCTGTTTGTCCATCGGTCTGTGGGTGGAATGCARTGCTATACTTGAGCGTGGTTCCGTAGGCCGTGAAGAGGTGCTTCCAGAATTGTGAGAGGAAGCGAGGATCACGGTCACTGATGATGTTCTCGGGGAGGCCGTGATGGCGAGCAACATGGTCGAAGAAGAGTGTGGCGACGTCTTTGGCACTSTGCGAGGTCGTGCAAGGSATGAAGTGGGCACGTTTGGTCAAGCGGCAGACAATGACGTAGATGCAATCAYGCCCGCGGTCGGTCTTGGGGAGGCCGCACACGAAGTCCATGGAGATGGACTGCCAYCGGTGAGTTGGGATGGGCAATGATTGGAGCTTGCCGRGTTTGGCCCGGTTCGAGGGGTTGACAGCTTGACATGTGGGGCACGAGCAAATGTATGCCTTAACGTCGACGGGTAGGGAAGGCCAGTAGAAGTAGCGGGAGATGGTGTCGAAGGTCTTCTGGAAACCGAGATGTCCTGCGGTCTTGGCGTCGTGGTGCTCGGCCAAAAGCTGAGTACGGAGGCCTCGTGCGTCGGGGATGCAAAGTCGGCGACTGCCTTTGGTATCGATGTAGAGGAGATTGTTGTGAAGGGAGTAGTCGGGAACTGAGTCAAGATCGCGGAGCTTGTTGTAAATGGTGGCGAAGTCTGAGCAGGAGAGATAGCCTTGGGTGTATCGATGATGAAGCGATGGAAGGAGTTGAATATGAGTCATGGTGGCGTAGACTTTCTCGGGGGGCTTGTGGTCGGGTCGTCGCGAGAGGGCATCGGCAACGTGGTTGCTTTTGCCRGGGGTRTGGCAAATGGTRAATGTGAACTGGGCAAGGAAGTCTAGCCAGCGGGCTTGGCGTGGAGTGATATCTTTCTTGGAGASGATGGASGAGACGATGGTGTTGTYAGTGCGGAYGGTGAAGTATTGYCCGTCGAGGTACGGGCGCCAGACTGTGAGGGCGTGAATAACGACGAGGAGTTCCTTCTCGTTGGAGGGGTAATTCATCTCCGCGGGAAGGAGCTTCTTGCTTGCGAAGGCRATRGGGTATTCGCCAGGTGGAGCCTCGGGGTGAGTGGGCGAGTCCTTGATGGAGGGGGTCTCGRCGGTGTSSCGGGGGAAATGTTGGGACAGTACGGCTCCGATGGCGAAGTCGGAGGCGTCAGTGGTGACATAGAAATGGTGAGTGGGGTCGGCGATCTTGAGGACAGGGGCCGTGGTGATSGTTTGCTTGAGTAAGTCGAAAGCTTGTTGGCGGCGATCGTTCCAATGGAAAGGCTCGTCCTTGCGGCCGAGTTCGTGGAGAGGGTAATAGATCTCAAAAAAGTTGCGAATGAACGGGCGGTAATAGTTGGCAAGGCCAAGGAAGGAACGGAGTTGGAGGAGGGTCTTGGGTGGGGGGTACTCGACGAGGGCTGTGACCTTTGAGGGGTCCATACGGATGCCTTCAGCGGAGACAATATGGCCGAGGTATTCGACGCTCGAAGTGGCAAACGTACATTTGCTGAGCTTGGCATAGAATTTTTGCTCTCGGATGATCGCGAGAACTTGGCGGAGGTGCTGAAGGTGGGACTCGAAGGTGGGGCTGAAGACAAGGATGTCATCAAGGTAGACAACGACACAAACTTCAAGGAGGTTGCGGAAGATGTGGTTCATGGTGGATTGGAAGGTAGCGGGGGCATTGGTGAGTCCGAATGGCATCACGAGGAACTCGTAGTGCCCGAACCGAGAGCGGAAGGCGGTCTTGTGAGTGTCCTCCTCGCGGATACGGATCTGGTGGAAGCCACTACGAAGGTCGATCTTGGTAAAGTACTTGGCTCCACGGAGACGATCAAGGAGCTCGGAAATCCGAGGTAGGGGGTACTTGTTCTTGATCGTGATCCGGTTCAAGGCGCGGTAGTCTGTGCACATGCGGAGCTCCGAAGTTCCACCTTTCTTGACGRAAAGGCAGCTGGTTCCGAAGGGGRATGAAMTTGGCTTAATGAACCCTTTTTCAAGGAGTTCACCGAGTTGCCGTTTCATTTCTTCGGCTTCGGGGACAGAGAGTTGRTATGGAGGGCGGCAAGGTGGAGAATGTCCGGGTTCCAAATCGATGGTATGCGATACGCCACAATCCGGAGGTAGTCCGGCGGGTAAGGACTCGGGAAAGACGTCCCTGAACTCGTCGAGGATTGAAGTGATGGCGGGGTTGGAGGGCGGGGCTTGATCGGGTTTGTCCGTCGGGAGTAAGTCCTTGGGACTTTCGCGATCAAGGACAAGACAGTAGTAGGCGGAGTCGGGGCTTAGGCGAGCCATGTGGAGGAATTGGTGCGAGGTGACGGAGCCTTGGGAGGTCGGATATGGGAGATAGGGGATGTCAATGGTTGTGTCGGGGGGGTTGGTGAGGCGAAGGAAGTTGGGGTGGAATGCGTATGGCATGTAGCGGTCCAGCCACGGGGATCCTAAGACGATGTCGCACATCAAGTGCATGACATCAAACGAGACCTGACTGCGGAGGGTTCCGACGGTCATGATAGCGGTCTACTACGGCGGCGGTGTCTTTGTCCCCTAGGCGAATCGTGATCGGGGAGTCGTAGCCGATAGAGGTAAGACCGGCTTTGCGGACACACGCGTCGGTGATGAAGTTACCGGTGGCTCCAATGTCGAGGAGGGCCCGAAACTTAGTTGTAGACGCACCAAGGGTGGCAACGATGAATTTGAGGTGGAAACGAGAAGAGTTGGCGGTGGAGATGATGGTGTTGAGGCGGCGTTGTTCGTTGCCTAAGTGGACAAGCCGATTGTGTCGGGCTTGTTCCTCAACAACATCGGAGAAGGTGATAGTGGATGCATTTGGAGGAAGGGTAGAGGAGCATGAGGCAGTGGGAGGTGTTTGCGACGCCTGGGAATCGTCCGGTGGAGGGGGCGTCGCCGGAGAGGGGGAAGGCAATCGAATTGTCGATGTCAGATGGGCCAT